AGGTTAATTAATCATTCTGGTTCTCTATTCCATAACCTTTTGTGCTGTCACCTGTAAGTTCTCATTGGCATAATTAGGGTAGGTTAACAGCAGAAATGAACTTTAAACTAGACAATGGTTCAGACCTTTGCTCATTGACCACTTAGATAAGTGAGATAGTTGGACTGATCTTGGACAAGTTTTCCTGTATTCATTCTCGTAACAACACTAATGAAAGCTTTTACCTTCAATGAAAGCAATCCCAAAATTTCTCTGAAGCAGTTTATTTTAAATGGAACTAAGTCCAAAAGAACATGGAGGGAGGACTAGAGGATGTATGAGTGAGTGAGTGTGTGTGTGTGTTATATACATGTAAGTATTTATATTACATTTATATACATATATGTATATATCCCATATATATGGGCTGAGCCCAGTAGTCATTTTACTTCCTGTTTATTTGGAAGTAGGTCTTGGAAATGTTAGCCAGATATACCCTAATCATGACAGAAAGATGGTTGTTTTGATAAGTGAGTATAGTTTTTTGCCAAATCTTTGTGTACATTAGGCTGTATCATGAAAACAATGTGTATTCTGTTCCATGGTCCCATGGGAAAGCTGTAGACACTAGGACCTAAGAAAATGTGTATAAATGAGTGGAAGATTGAAGGAATAATGGCACCACTTCAGATGTAAAGCATTCTTAAAAGTTAGCTTAATTTGATATAGAAAAAATGTATATATTGGTATCATTTGCTACCTCTCCTCTATTCTATTCTACCAGGTTTGCTTTAATATCTGAAAGTTATTGTGATTCCTAAGAATGTCTGGATACTTTATAACTCTAGCCAGGATGCCCAAATCATGAATCATTTTTATAAGACACTAAAATACATTTAACCTCAAGTTCAATGCATTGTTATTATAAATATACATATATAGTACCTATATATTCAATTTATTGTTTTGTGAATATTATTCCTAATTGTATAATTTAAAACCCTATATTTTTGCTTAATGTTGTTAGTTTAAAATAACAGTGCATATTATTCATAATTATAATTGCTCTTTCTTTTTAAACTTTGTTTTCTGTGGTTGTGCTGACTTAGTGTGTCCATGTGCACCATATGCATGCCGTGTCCTCAAAGGACAGGAATAGGTGTCAGTGCCCCTTAACTTGAGTTACAATCACTTGTGAGGCCTTGGGAACCAAACCCAGGTCATCTTCAAGAGCAGTAAGTAGGTTTAATCTCTGAGCCATCTGTCTAACCCTACAGACACTCTTTCCTAAAAACAAAATTATGATTTAAAAAATCAGGCTGGGTAAACCCACAGAAACAGCTGACCTGAACAAGAGGGAACTCGGGGACCCCAGACTGACAGCTTGCAAACCAGCATAGGACAGAACCAGGCCCCCAAACGTGGTCATGAAACAGATTTTATCCCTAGTGTAAAATGGACATTGGGAACCCATTCCCCATAGAGGGATACACACAGGGCAGTGCCTAGGCCCTTCCTCAAATGATATGACAAACTTTGAAGATCCCTCATGGAAGGCCTCACCCTCCTTGGGGAGCAGAAGGGGGATGGGATCCGGAGTCACTGGGAGGCATGGGGGGATGGTAAGGAGAGGGAACTGGGATTGGTATATAAAATAAGATTGTTTCTATTTTAAAGTAAAAAAGGAATTATAAACAAAATGTACAAAAGGACCATTGTTTATCTTTTAGTGTTATTAGTGACTATTCAACATCTTACTGTCTGTTTTGTATGATATGTAATTTTTTTACATATTTTCTTAATCAGTTGAACAAAGAAAAACAAGTTTGCCATAGCCACAGAAGTTTTCCCCCAAGAAAATAGATGAACTTGGTTAATTTTCTTTTAAGAACTGTGGTAATGAATGGTTAGAGAGCATGGATGTTTTAGATAATAGATACAGAAATTCAAACTTTTAGAGGTGGATTTAGGAGAAAAAATATTCATGCATTGTAGCACTTAGGAGCCCTCCATGTTATTTCATCCTTTAGAAAATGGACAAGTTATAGCATATGTGTGTATATACACTGTATATATCATGTTAAACTCAGGTTTTGTACTTCTTCAAAAAGAGATACACAATCATTGGTCTTACTTGCCTAGAATCTTCCATACTTGAAACCAAAAGAGCTGAGTGTTCCTGAATGCCAGGGAATAGGAAAAGATTTGGGTCAGGGAATTCAGAGTTGTATTTAATTATATACTCAAGGGAGGATTGAACGATTGATCCTGATGAGAAAATAATCAAGTAAAAGTGAATTTGAAGCACACCAGGAATAATTTAGTTTATCTTGAAGGACACACTTCCAAGAATGACTTTTTGCAATCTCTACACTATTGCATGCTTAGTATTACTTTGGTCTTAGAACATTAACACAGAAGAAACAAGATAACCTTTCATTGTGCCCTGCCTCTCAGTGACTGTATTCCTTTCCAAATGCCATAACATATTAACACAGATATAATGTCTTAAAACAAACACAAAACACATAGTTCACAAGTCCCACAGGATTGGAATGTCACAAGGCATAGCTGAATTCCTGGATTCTCACTTGGTTAAAATCAAGGTATTATCCCTTGAATACTAACATACATCGTGTGTCCATAAGACAAAGAGGGTTGCTCTCTCTGCCTGGACTCTTAGGGAAGTGCCTGGACACTACACTGAATGAAATGACAGACTCTAGATATCCCCTATGTGGAAGGAATTGGCAATAGGGTGGGAGGATGGGGGGGGACGGGGGGGTGCAGGAGGAGGGGAGGGAGAGGGAACTGGGATTGACATGTAAAACAAGCTATTTAAAATTAAAAAAAAGTTAATAATAAACTCTCCCAGAAAAAAAAAATCAAGGTATTGGCCGAAGATGCATGTCTTCTGGGGATTGGGTTTCTCTTCTAAGTTCACTGTCTGGAAGAACTTACTTCATTTTTAAGTGTGTCCTATGTGTTCAATCTAGCAACAGCAGCTTAAGTCCATGTGGTATTTTGAATCACCTTTCTGCCATGCTTTTAACTTCTGTTTCAGCAAAGAAAGCTTGCTAGTTTCCAACCAAGGCAGGCCATGTTGTCAGCAAAATCCTATTTTGCTATATATTTAAAGAGCTCCTTTTTATTTAAATTAGAAACAAGCTTGCTTCACATGTCAATCCCAGCTTCCTCTCCCTCACCTCCTCCCCCGCCCCTCCCCACCAGGTCACCTTTAAATATGTTTCAATCATAATTCTACGTAAGAAGCTAAGGATTCCCAGAGGTTTCCTTGTTTACCATTGTAATATTTGGAATATGCACTCTATGACCTGGAGCCTATCAGCCATCTCTTCTTGTTTACTATAATCTTGGACTGAGCATGCTCAGGAATATGCTACTGGCTGTATTGGTTCATATAGTTCTTTTCTTAAATGAATATTTATACCTGAACAAAATTAGACAGGTTTTGTTCCAAGAAGGCATTGCTTTGAAGGTAATGCTTGCTCCAGTTCATAAACCATTCTCTTCATTTTTTAATCTCTACATTATGCTCTTTTTTTCCTTTTATGCTCATCAAGATTTGTATGCATTGCATTCAAATCAGTTCTGTCCTGCTGTTAATGTCTCATGATTGTACTGACCTCACTTAAACATTTCAAGATACTAATTGTGTCAAAGTCAACTCCTTAGTATCCCTGATTTCAACTGCAAAGTCCTTTCTGTCATGTGAAGCAAGTGACACCAATGAGGAAAGACATTAGAAATAAGATGTCCTCTACCATGACAAAACTGTCCTGATGGTTCAGCCACAGAGAACAGAAACACATATAAATTATAGTAAGTGCTCTCCTTCCCCAAATACATTGTGTTTAGAATAACTTTAATTCATTAAGAGTTATTACAGACATTCAAGGAAGCATGAATTAACACAAAACCCACCTATCCATTACTAATTTCAACATTGTGCAAAGCTGTAAAGTTAAAATAGAAGTTAGGGAAATGAAGACACTTGGATTGGTATGCATATGTGCTTATGAAATATTTTTAAAGAACCTCAAGTATGTTAACATTTTAGACTTGTCCTTATTTATTAAGTAGAACATGATTTCCATAACAATGGTGTGTTTACGAATGCTTATGCTGTGGAAAGCACTGCACTAAACTTTGGTGATACATAATATGTCTTCAGGACAATCCAAAATGCTGCCATCACCCCCGCTATTGATTGTGTAAAGGCTCAAAGGGACATTAAGAAGCCAGGGCAAAGACTCTTGAACTTATAGACATGACAATATTGTGTCACTCAAGGTGGGACAGCTCAAGCAGCTCAGTAGCAAAGTGTTGGAGGACAAGGGTGAGGGTTTTAGACTCGGACCGGTATTTGGGTGTGGGTTTCAACACTTACTCATTTGGCAAAGACTGAGCCCTTTTGTGCCTCTGGTTCCTAATTTGTCAAGTGTGGCTGCTGAGAGACACCTCATGTGGCTGCTGCGCGATAACATGTGTAAAGAACCTGCTGTGTGATAAGCGCTCTCCAGCACCTCCTTCTTGAGCAGCCAATGTGCATGGCTTTCTATCTAAAGCTCTTCCAGGAAGTCGGCTCCGGACTCGGGCCAGGTCTTACAGGATATCAGGACCTTCCTCAGTGCTTGGATCTGTTGGTTTAGAAATGGGTTCTTTAGGATCCATAGTCCCTCTCTATGTGGTTCCCACATACGGCGAGCACAATGGCGTAAAAATAATCCATAATCACTGAATTTCAACATCACAGGCAATCAGTTAAGAGACTCCAACCTAGTAGGAGACTTTCCTGGCATCTGTCAGACAGGCCGCATGCCAGAATATTCTCGTGGCTTTCACATTAATATGTATTTGTGTGCATTGTTTTTGATTGCTCTAATCAGACTTGAAATGGATCCAAGAGGTTTTACAACTAAGAGACATTAATCCCCCATGCCCTTTCTTTCCATCTAGGCTCTGTCTGAAGGCCTAATTCGGCTACCTTATCTCTCTAGGTATGTGGAGACCAAAGCCAAGGGGCTGTTTTCCTGAGGGAATTCACGCTGATTCGAAGAGAGAGCCTTCATGATGATTTCCTGTCTGACTTCTTAAATGGTCACAAAACTGAAGACCCGGTACAGTGCCTCTTATACTTATTTATTGAAACACAGTGGTACAGTGGTTGGTTCTAGCAAACATGAATCCAAGCTAAAGAATGATGTCTGTCGTGTTCATGACAAGATAGGGAGACAAAACAACAAGGCAACAACACACAGACACCGTGTATAGGGTAACTTTCAGATGCTTCCAGCATCTGACATTTTGCTTGAGTGTTGAACTCTGTTTGAGGCAGCATGTGGAGGACTCACTTCCAAAAGTATCTGATATCTTGCCAGCGAGTCTGAACATACAATGGTGATAACTTAAATGAGTAAAGAAAAATGAGATTGTTTTATAGGCTAATGAGAATTCCATAATCCTTCATTCCCGGCATCACTGCAGATACTTTTACTTCAAAATATTAGTTGCATTTATTATATAAATTTTTCTAGTAGGACTGCTTTTCCTTTTGTATTTTTGGTTCATGATTGGTTTGTTTGCTCTCGGTCTAGCAAATGAATTCTCAAATGAAAATAAGTATTATTGACTGACAAAATCAAGTCAATGAACCCTCTCTTCTGGCATTCAGGCTCTGTACTGTGAGAACTGGACTGTGGGCTTCTGAGACCTCACTGTATCTCTGGATGGTAAGAAACATTTATTCAGGAGACTTGCTGGCTAAAGGCTGCTGTCTGCACAGCAGTATAGATCTTATCCAGCCTTAAAATAGTAGAATCACAGAAAAACAATATCCCAAAATAAACACAAAGATGCCTTTGTCTCTACTTCTTTCAGCCCATTCTCTTATTATCCTCTCTTTGGGTATTTCCTGTTTATTTATTAAATCTTTCTCTTATAGATACTAAGTAAATGGGTTCCTTCTACAGTAACCCCAAGGTACTGCTCTCAGTGTTTGTGTCATTTGCCTCTTCTCCACATTAGGCATGTGTATCTTTCTCAGTGTGGGCAAATTGCATCTGTACACCTCTCAAGGTGAGTGCTCAGGCTTGAGCAGGTATAGTATGATGGTTCCCAGGGATCCTAAATTTAACTTTCATGTGTGTCACTTTTCATCAATGAATCTGAAAATGTAGTGCCTGGCATTTTATATTTTTCTTGTTTACACCAAGCTTTCATTGTGACCTAGCAGGTACGTTTAGTACCTAAACTTATAATCTTTCTTAAGAACAGTATCTTGCAATGATGTCTTAATTTTGTTGCATTTGAGGTGATACTAAGTCTGAAATGTGAACAATTCAAAGTGTTGCTATGTGGGCACTATACGAAAATATTGTAAGTGAGTCTAATTATTACATCACTTTATAACCTTATTTTATATTGTGAATTAATTATGAACACAATGGGCTCTGACAGTCCCACTGAAAACAGTTATTGGCATTGTTAAGCTGTCATGAACAGTGCTAACGTATAGTATTATGTTGACTTCTGTCTTAAAAACTGCATGCTTCTCAAAGTCTTCACTTATATACTAAGGTCAGAATAAAAGAGTAAATAGAAATACATAACCTGAAAAGGAATTGCCTACAAATCAAGTAATGAAAACCATGGCTATTCAAGAAAGCATGTGGAAAAAAAAGCATCAAAGATTCCTAAATGCCAAAATCAAATTCAAACTTCTTATAAGTTTATGAAATTCTAACTATTTCCTAGGGAGGGTTTCCTCTACCTGAGGACTTGATTTGACACCGGAGATATGAAACTTTGTTAACTTATACCTTCATATTCTAAGTAGATATTACAAGGTGAATCACATAATCTCTGTGTTTGTAGTAGGGGAAGAACTCAAAAATGCTATGCCACTTAAGTAAAGTAGCCAGGAAGGTGGACATTCCTGTCATCCTCCTGTGTGTGAGTTGATTTTTCTAGGGAGGATGTACTAAGGCGAAGGAGACCCAGTAAGAACTCATTCTGGTTACAGACATAAAACTCATGGGCAAAGAGGTAAGTGAGGGAGCAAACAGCAGAACAACACAGTCTGTGTGTGCAACCCTGTAGGCTTCCATTCAAGCCTTGTTAGCAACCCATATATTTCCCAACATGTGTGTCATTTCCCCTCCCAAAAAAGTAGGTTTGCTTCCTAAGTACCAGCCTGTGCTGCTTCAGGATTTACCACCAGCACCTGGCCTACCACCGTGCGATGTGCTCTCAAGTGGGTGTAGTGTTTGCTGAGGGAGACCAATGGCTGTTCCCCTTTGCCTGATCTAGAATTTCATCTTTAAAATAACAACAACAACAAATCCCATAATAGAATATGCAGGAAAGGCTGGGCGGTGGTGGTTCACACCTTTAATCCCAGAATTTGAGAGGCAGTGTTAGGAAGATCTCTGTGAGTTCAAGGTCAACCTGGTCTACAGCCAGCACTACACAGAGAAGCCCTGTCTCAAAAAACCAACTGTATATGTATATGTATATGTATATGTATATGTATATGTATATGTATATATGTATGTAGTATACACACAGACACACACACACACACACACACACACACACACACACACATGTATACGTATGGAAAAGGGGCCCTATCAACAACATGAAAATCCAAATGCACACATGCTTGTGAAAATGGTTTGACTGATTTTCAAATTTGATGAGGAGATAAAAGAGCATTTGGGTTATCTGCCATAATATCATATGTAAGTTATACACAAATTTATCACAAATAATGTGAATTCAAGGATATTTTCCAACTGAAAGTCCATAATTGTGAAAGTAACAGAGAACATTTGAACAGAAGTAGCATAAGCTGTAGATATGAAATATGTTGTCTCTCTTCTGAGTAAACTAAAGGACAGTAATTTTCTTTTTTTCATTTAGTCTTTCTTTACTTTATTTCTAAAACAATTCTTTCAAAATTCAAATAATTCTTTAAGTCATTATTATTAAACACACACACACACATTAAAGTCCTGGGTCTGGAGAGATGGCTCAGCAGTTAAGAACACTGGTTGCTCCTCCTGAGGAATGATGGGTTCAATACTTAGCACCCATTTGATGGCTCACATCCTTCTGTAACTCCAGGCCCAGGGCATCTGTTGCTGTCTTCTGGCTGCCTCAGGCACTGCATGCCCCTGGTGTACAGTTCATGCAGACAGAACACCACTTACACTAAGTAAAACTAAAGGGAAAGGCAAACAGCCTTATTTACCTTGTTAGGGGATCACTTTCACCTATATCTTCTTGGTTTGTTTTAGTCTAAATAAATGAAGTTAATTTTTGACCTTCAGAGAGCAGTCTCTACTCTTCCCGCCTGACAAGGCTTGAGTCTTAGATTGTGTTAGACAAACTTCCTTGGGGTTGTTCTCTTCTGTTTCCAGCTAGCTGCCTCTGTGGGGGCAGACAATATTCTCTGTGCTTTGGGGAAACTGGATAAGCAACTGCTTGTCTGGAGGCATAGAAGTCGCCTTGTAATTTTAGCCTGAAACAGCCGTTTGTGGTTTGCCTCGTTTGTGGAGAAGAAACTGACTGTTTGTCAAAAGCTGTAACTCATTATTGGAGCAGCAGAGATGCAGGGTCACGTGTTGGCACATTGGTTTTGGTTGTCAGCTGGATACAACATCAGGATAATAATTAACATGAAATTCACTACAGAATGGGATTTTCTTCAGCATGTAATTAGTGCAGACCTCATTTGCTTGCAGCTTTGTGGTTCCCTATGTGGTTATTTAGGGCAGTGTTGTATGTTGATAGAAAGAAAAGATATTTAAATATTTACCAGTTGAGGGTAGAGTGCTCCGTTGGATGATTGGTGAAATAGAGATGCCTTTTGTGGGAGAGAGAAGAGCTTTGGAAGGGATGTGTTCGGGGATCTCTGGATTTGTAGATTTATATAAATAATGTATATCCCTCTCCTGGGTACAGAGAGATAGAGATAGCAGGTCACCAATTCACTGATTCTCAACTGAAAGAAAAAAAATGTAGTTTATTAAAAATGGTGTAAAGCAAGTTATTTTTTACCTCCCTTGGTAGATACAGGGCAGAGAATTAGTGAGAGCTGGGGTATTTCTATGACCTGTGAAATGAGTTCAAGCAATATATACAAACTCAAATAAAATGGAATAAAACGACTTCCATGTGTTTTCAAGGTTTTGAGCAACCTCGCCTCCATTCCTGCTGAGGAGCAAAGGGAAACAATTTAAGTGCTAACACCTGGAGATAACTTATTTTGCTTAATTATACTTCTAACCTGATTCTCATGCTAGAAATGTAGGGGCCTGAATACAAGGAGGGCAGCAGTGTAGCAAGAACATAAGCGCATTCGGCCACAACTAACACATAACCTTTACCCAAAGTAAAGCTTGACGTGACTGCCCTTCAACATGGAATAGCATTCCATCAAGTCTGTGCATGTGCTGCAAGCAGTTTATAAATTCACAGAGCCTTTTATAATCAGTTAGTGACTTGATTTATCCTTAAAAAGTGGCCACTGTATTTTTTAAATAAGTTTATCCAAAAAAAAAAAAAACATGCAGCAAATGGGCCCACTGCTCTAGAGGTAAGAGTCCACTCCAATTCGGTCTTAAATTTTCTAGAATATACACTGGTATAATTGCTGACTACCAATGACTACCAAAATTCCCTCTTTTTTGAGGATGTAACAAAATTACCATACAGGACTACTCAATGGGTGGAAAAGGAAAAAATTTTAGTTTGTTTATTTGTTTTTTAGGATATGACCCATTTAGGGTAATGGGTCAGGGGATTTTTCAGGTCAGAATTGCCAGGTGGCTTGATATGTGGTTACAGGTATGTGTTAATATGAACCAAAGGAATCTGGCAGTTAAGCATAGGACTTTGATATGTGTTACAAGTATGTGCTAATAGGGAGTTAGGTCCCCCATTTGCTATAGGTGGCTGTAGGGAGTGATAAGATGTAGCAGTTTTTCTTGGCAGAAAGATTTCTGAGGAATGCTGAGTGTAAACTTTGATGTACTCTGCTCCCCACCCAACACCCCAGCCATCCTTCTGTTTACCATGGTAGAATTCAGCTTGAGCCGAACCCGGACTGTCA